AGTACTAGTACTATTATTATAATACTATAATAATCTCAGATATATATCTACTACTTATTATAGTTAATTACTAATACTAATATTATTTAATAATAATATTCTACTTACCACTCTCTTATTTATATAATCTATGATATATATATATCTATCTTAAATAGATATAAATATAATAAACTCTTAATAATTCTTATAATAATATTAATTTATAAATTACTAATATATATAATATCTATCTTTCTATAATTAATATCTTTAATATTAATATCTTCAGTTACTATAGTAATTATATATATAAATCTCTGATAATAAAAATATATCTAAATTCTAGAAAATATTATTTATTAATAATATAATTCTAGATATTATTAAATTTTTATTATAATTTATAAAATTTATAAAAACTATCTAGAATTTCTATTTCTAGCTATATTTTTTATAAATTAATTTTTATTCTTCTTTATTCTTTATTATTTAATTTAAATTATATTTTACTTTATTTAACTAGTCTATATTAATTAATAATACTTATTATATCTTATCCTCAAAAGACTAGTTACTAGAGATTAGAATATAATATAAGTCTTTTTTTTATTAAATATCTAGATAATACTTTTATATAAGCAGAGCCTGCTTAACTAGATTATATTAATATTAATTTTAATAATAACTAAACTAGTAGTAACTAGTAATTTTAATATAAATAATTTTTATATTAATCCTGATACTTATACCAGGCATATTATTAGTATTAATTCAGATAATAATATAAAGATAAATATTAATAATAATAATAATAATAATACTAATATAAATATTAACAGTAATACTAGTTTCAGTAGTAATACTGATAGTAATACTGATATAAATATTAATAATATTATTAATTTTAACAGTAATACTGATATAGATATTAATAGTATTATTAGTTTTAATAATAATACTGATAGTAATACTGGCATAGACAGTAATACTAATTTTATTAGAAATAATATATCTTTTTTTAATATAATTTATAAAAATATTTTTTTTTTTTTTAATAGCCTAGAGAGTCTTCTAACTATACTTTTTTAAAAGATTCTTTTTTATAAAAATAAAAATAACCAGTAGAAGTTTTTTATAAAATATTCTAGATTTAATATTAATTATTCTCAAGACTAGCTTTTTAAATTTATTATTATACTTAGATTATAGATTTTTACTACTTTAATTTCCCGGAGTAACTATATAGTATTATATAAGATATTAGTTTTAATTATATTACTTAAAGAATTCAGGTCTATTTCCAGAAAACTGGATATTTTAAAGAGATATATATAAGATCTTTTATTTATATTATTAATAAAGATATACTTTATCTCAGTTAATTCTAAGATCCAGAGTTTAGTTTTATTAATTATAAAGAATTCCTTGAAATAAGAGATATTTATATAATATATTTATAGTCTACTATATTTTTTCTTTTTTATTCTATTATCTAATCTGGAATTATTTAAACTATATTTTAGAATAATAAAATATTCTGATTATTTTATTAAATTATAATATTATTATATATAAGATTTATTTTTTATTATTATATCCAGTTAATATATCTCCTGTCTAGATTCTAGAGATATCTTTTTTCTAAATAATTTTATTTAATTTATTTTCTAGTTATAATAGTACTCTAGTATATTATCTTAATATAATAAAATAATATTTATTAATAAGAATATTTAGTCTTATTTATAAATATATAATTAAATTATTTATATTATCTAGTTTATTCTTAAACCATATCAGCTTACTAAGATTTAGAATAAATATAAATATTCTTTTAAACTTACAGATCCTTATATTGATAGTAAATATTAATTAATAAAAAATATAATATTTAAAATCTTTTTTATATTAATTAATAGCTATATTAATTTCTAGTTTATTTATATAAATTCTCTGACTATATTATCTGATAATATTATTTTTATTTATTATATTTTAACTCTCTGTACTGGGCGGGTATAATTATATATTTTTATATATTTATTTTAAGTAGAACTTGAGCTTGAGATATTTAAATATAATTATTTTATATAGTTATTTTATTAATTATAAGTAAAGTCTCTTTTTTTTTTTTTTTTTATTAATAATTTTAAAGCCTATTATAATATATTCAAAATTTTAAAGAAGATTTATCTAATACTAGCTAGCTTATCTTATTAAAAATAAAAATATTTAATTAACTTTTTTATTATAATACTGGGTCTTTATAATATCTTATTTTAAAATATTCTAGCTAATATTAATATTAATCTTAAGATTATTATAAAAGACTTTTACAGTATTTTTTATAAGGAATAAGTAATTATTATTATATTTATTATAATACTTACTGGAGATATATCACAGTAAGCTAAAAATAATAGTATACTTAGTTATAATATTAATATAAAATATTAGACTTATTACTGCTCCTGAAAAAAAAAAATTAATTTAAAATATAATATAATTTTTTATAACTAGTATTATTTTTAGTATTAATATTATTAAGCTAAGAATAATCATCAGATAATTATTTTTAAATAATAAAAATATTTTAATACTAAGGAAATATAATTTATACTTTTATTAATTAAATAAATTATTCCAGTTCTTGATATTATTCTAGGCTGTTTATATAATATATTTTATTTTAATTAAAAAGAGATTAGTTATTATCTTTTAAAATATATTTAAAAAATTCTTTTATCTTCTAGTATTACTAGCTTTAATATAATTTTATAAAAAATAATTTAATCTACTTATTAATTTTAATTTTTTTTTCTAAAATATTTAAAGACCTGGACATTATCAGAGCTTAATTAAAGAATTATTATTTTATTTATTATTCTTTAATATTATATAATTACAGTCTGGTTCTATATAAAATTCTTATTATAAATTTAATTATTGATATTATCTTTTTTTTCTATTATAAATTTATTTTTATTTCTTTAGTAGCTGATCTGTATCTGTATAAAAATTATATTTATTATTATACTTATTTTAATTAGCTGAATAATATTTTTTAATAATATATATATTTAAATATTTTACAGCTATTATATTTTCTAATATTTAATAATTATTATTTCAGGATTAACTGATTCCCAGCTATATATCTTCAGAATTTATAGTATTTTATATAATTTAATTCTTTTTTTTAATAAATTTAATTTATTAATTTACTTATATACAGCAGGAAAATTACCGTGTAATTTTAATATAATAGTAAAAAATAATAAATAAATAAAATATCTTGAAATATCTGTTGTTTATACTAGCTTTTATTTTTATATATTTATTACTGAGTATAATTTATTTATGAACTGTAATATTCTAGTAAATAAGTTAAAATATAGATAAGTATTTATTTAAATATATATAATCAATTATTAATACTTCTTGTAAGAGTATTTAAAAAATAGATTAATTATATTTTATTATTTTAGCTTATAGCTTATCTTTTTTAATTAAATTAGTTTTATTATTCTGTATACCTGGATCTCGTTAATTTCTAATAAAATAATTATTTAATTTTATTTTAAATAATTTAAAAATTATATAAATCCTGCCTATATCTTATCCAGAAATATATTTTTATAAATAAATTTAATACTAATATATAGATTTTAATAATATATTTTATTAAATTTTATTATTACTCTCTTTCTAAATAGGATATACTAAATATATTATTTTCTATTTATTAAAAAAAGTATTTTATCTCAATACCTGTTTAATATAATAAATCTAATTTATCTTATTATTATTATATTAAGTTTTATTTCCGGTGAATCTCTAGTTATTTTATAAGATTATTATAAAAATCTTTTATAATAATCTTTTATATTAATATTATATTAACTATCTTCTTATTTATAGTTATTCACAGATAATCATTACTGGAAGCTTTATTAAATATAAATTTTTATTAATATATCTCAGCTGTGGTATAAAACATTACTTTTAATTATAAATTTTCTTATTTCTTTTAATATAATATTAAGAATTTAATAATTTAGACTAGATAATAATACTCTTTTATTATTATTTTTTAAAGAATTAGTTGTTATTAGGACTATAGAATAAGATTAAATAAGTATTTATAATAAATATATATAATAATTTTGGACAACTATCAATTAGTAATAATAAATTAGATTTAATATATTATCTATAAAATATTAATTTTATATAATTATTATAATTTAATTCTTTATTATTTTTAATATAATTTTATACAACTTTTAAGATTCTTAATTATAAGAATATATTATTATATAAATAATATAATCAGTAGATCAGGAATATTTATAATTTATATATATTATTTAATCTTATAATATTTTTTCTAACTGTAAGTAACAGATGTTGTTAATATATAAAATATTAAATAAAGAATTATTTATTTTATTAATAAAATTTAATAAGTATTATCAAACAGTATATAACTTTATAATAATAAAGTGTAATTATCTGGTTTAAATAAGATTTATTAATTTAAAATAAAATTTATCTGAGAATAACAGTAAATAACTTTTTTATAATATATAAATAACTGACTACTACTATATGTAACTGTTGCTAAACTATATAATAATAGTAAATAAAAATAAGTAATTACAGATAATAATAATGAATGATAGTAATATATTATTATTAAATATTATTGAATATACTACTATCCTTACTACACGGCCCTTCAGGCCCCTATGTAGCCTGCGATCTTGCCGCAGCAATAGGAAGAACGGCCCATGAAGTGCGGGAAATCTTTTCTTATTTTCATAGCAAAATTGCAGTCAGCGAAAGTCGCCGGAGATACTAAATATATAGTGACTCGTACCCTGATACTTGTATCTGAATAGGTGAGAACTCGCTGTAAATATATCCTAGTAAATACATGAAAGCCTGGATGATCTAACTCTGGTTATTGAGAGTGAGGTATCAGAATCAAGGCCTTTGGCTGAGTCAATAGAGAATTATATCAATTCATCCATTACAAAAACTCTTCTCCTCATTACCAATTCTTTCGCCTCTGGATCCGATAACGCGTAGTGTAGCACCGCATTCTTTCCATCTCCAACCTTTTCAAACATCATCGTTCGCACCCTCGCCTTCTCCGGCACATACCCATTAGCATCGGCTGCCTCCCCTTCCAGCTTCGCTATTTCCCGCACCATGTATAAGTATGACATTGAGTCATGCAGTCCTTCACGATGCGGCCATGTGCGGAACAACCTCAACACACGCTCTCGGATACCCACATCGCGGCACTTGATCCCTACCGAAAACAATGGGACGAAGACCCCAATATCGGAGATGACGTTGGGAAGTGGCCGTTGCTTGTGGGCGTATTCCGTTTGAAGACTGGCGACGATCTGCTCTGTCAAAATTACGGCTCGGGTCCATCGTGCTAGGAATCGGTCGTAGATGGTCTCGGTGAGATCCATGAAGGTGGCGATATAGGTACTCATGACGATGTGACTGACGCGGATTGTATCGATAGCTCGAGTTTCCTTGGGTGAGTAGTGTTGGGCTTGGGACACGTATGTCTCAAAGGCGTTGATATGGCGTTTTATGTTACTGTATTGCCGTTGTTGCTCGACATAGAGAGGATAATGATCTGCGGAGCGATCTCGAAGCTCTATTTCGCAGCGCGTCCAGAAGCGCACCATGCTATCAATCAACGGGTCCAACGTATCCTTTGCTTCAATTAGACTGCGAATTTCTATACTGTCGTAATGGACCGTGGAGAGATGCGCATCCAATGGTTGCAACCTCATCACGGAATCCTCGCTGAAATGCGCTGCCTGGACCGTCAACTGCGCAAACATATGCGTGAAAACCGCATCCTCTTCTCGCTCACTATCATTTTTCGCACCAGCGGGAAGGGATTTGAATATTGCTTCCCTCGCTTTCGGGCCAGTCTCATTCATAAGGATGTATATCCCATTTCTCAGATGCACCAATATGTTTCCATAATTATCTTGCAATAACTCTAGCACCACAAAGATCACACAACACACCAACGCTGTAATCCGTAGCTGGGGATCCCCGGACCCGGATGCAAGACGGCGGCGAAGCACTCCAATCGCGCGCCCGTATTGCTCCAGTGCAAAGAGCCGATAATCGTTGTTCATACCAGCTACACCCACAGTCGTAGTTTCGTGGAATGCGCCCAGCGCTGCGACAGCGTGTCCAACTGCCGGCTCCATCTGACTCATCTGTAGCACGAGCCGTTGCCAGAGTTCCGAATCACATAACCCGGTCAGCATGGGCATCGTATATGTCTGAAATAAGGCGAGACAGCGGCGCTCATCGGCTGTCATACCGGGCAGGTTGGTGGAAATGTAGTTGTGCAGGTGACTAGCGTGTCGAAGGCGCGATTTTATGGGGAGCTGAAACTGCGGGGACCGGTCGCAAGTACGACCTGTCGACGTGCAGTTCTTGCATGATGGTCCTGGTGTCTCGTCGCATTTAATCCGTCGTGCACGACACGTCCGGCACCCTGTTCGAGACCGCGGTGAGTACTTCTTCAGGCCTAGGGTTTTGGAGCCCATCGCGGGGAACACGTTGTAACATGTCCAACTCTGGCACTTGGTAGATGGTTAAACCATTTAAAGAGTGAGAATTCGGGCCGAGCCGATGGGGCGTTCAATTCAATTCAATTCAGTTCATAGCCCTATACCCGATTGAGCCGGTGTAGTTAGATACTAGTTATGCAGGGACTTCACTATTTGAACTAGTACGAATATGGCCCTGAATGCCTTCAAATCATGTCAAACTTACGGTAAACACGTAAACAATACTTACTATAATATAGGAAGGTTATGCTATAGCTAAATATAAAATAAAGATTCAAATATAGTTATATACTAATATTAATATAAATTATTATTACAGCCAGCCAGCTACTTGCAAGTCCATTCTCTATTCCTTATTTTTTTTCTTTATTTATTTCACTTTTTCTACTAACTTGAACAGAATATATTTTATATTTTATCTTATTCATGTGATCAGTAGCTAGGACCTCCGGCGTGGCCCGCAAGGCGCCGAAACAGAGTAAAGTATAAAACAAACAGACAACAAACAAACAAACGGAACAAATCACGTGATTTATGCGGAGACGTCACGTGGTGAGGCATGGGAGATATCCACTCTAAGTACTCCGTAGGTTTTATCCTACTAAAATTATAACTTTCTATGTATTCTGAGTACTGATATTTATGAAGTACTCATATATAGTTCTTTTTATTTTGGTGCGTGAGGTGATTGACTGTTCCAACTCGACGAAATTGATGGTCCGCTCAGAGGACCAGCAGATTGCAAAGTCTGCCTTCGCAGGAGGTCGCAGAGGAACGTATCGAATGACGCCCCCAGCCATATTAATGTCGTCCAAATATCTACGGCAGAGAGAGCGCAAGCGGGGCGTGTAAGTATCACATAGATAGTAGAACGTCCGAGAACGAGGGCAAGGGGCGCCAACTTACTGGTCAAAGTAGGGCTCAAAAAGCATAACTTCATCACCCGGATTCAGAAACGCCATCCATACACTAAGCATTCCTATGTCAGGTTAATCACAATCGACAGGAAACATAACATTCCGATGCTTCGAGGGCCAGTACTATACCTTCGTTTGCCCCTGTGGTCACAACTACCTCGGTTTTGGGGTTTGTACGTCGACCCCAAAAGGGAGTGTATGTCTTGGATATAGCCTCCCGAAGCCGCGAGCGGCCCTTGGTTGGAGCATATTTGTTGCACTCGAGGCGGTCCAGGGCCTGCTTAGCCGCTTCACGGACGAACTCCGGAGGGTTCCATCTACCTCACCTGCCATCGTTAACAAGACGGTCATCACGCAAAATTCAATGAGGGGTAGTTTCACAAATAGCCCTGACTGAGGTTTACGCATGGCTTGATGCGAGAGGCCTCGGCACCTTCGTTGATAACGGACCATACATCCTGCTTGCTTGCCCCCCATCGTTTTGCCGGCCGAAAGTCAATGGCCGGGCAGTTGTTCTGCCTGGTGGCTGAGAAGTCGTCACCCGCATTATCTGTCTCCATGCCGCTGCAATGAGGGAAAAACAAGCAGGGGCTCGGCTGGGGTGTCCTTCGTGAAGGTACTGGCCCCCGATTTCCCTCTACCCTTTATCTACGCCTGTTGAGGCGCCCTTCGACCCACCTTTAGAGAAACAGGGACGCTGATAAGGACCGGATGACCTCAATTGCGAGAAGCAAGTCAAGCATATCTGTATGATACGCGGAGTAATAATGTAATATATGTGTCTCTACAACTAGTCGTAACCTGTTTCGGGTTTGAAAAAGACGACTGCGAATGTAATACACTAGATTCTTCTCGTTGGTTTTGTCACTGCTCGTACCAGTACCGGTTCATCTTAGTTGCATTAGTGTGTGCATGGCAGGAAACTCAGCTACCAAGCTGCAAACAACCCTGTGATTGATTGCAATCATGGACCAGTCAGCCCTTAGAAAAGCGATCTACCGATCATTCCACTCATTGTCAAACCTTGGACCCGCACGAGGCAGGAACGCTCCCCGCTGCCCCTCCTCCGCGTCATCATTGGCGTCTTCGTCCTCCAGCGCAGCGTGCGTGATCCGCTGCTGACTGCGTGCCTGTCTGCCAAATTGCATTGTCATCCAGCTCGGTCGCTGACGCAGGGCCTGATATAATGCAACCTGTAGCTGCCTTAGTAAGGAATCACCTATAACGAAGCACATGCACAGACCTTCATGAGTAGAGTCAAGATAGCAGCTGCAAAAACCATCCATGAAGCACTCTGTTGCTGCTGTCTCCACGGGACCAGACAGCTTGTCCCGTAATTGAATTGTACCTCACAAGCATCATCCCCGGTGGTCTTATCCTTGAACGGCCACGCTCGGTCATGGATACTCCGGAATCCGCAGCAGCGGAATTCGTCTTGAATAGCACGGATCGGTTGAGCATCTTTCGCGCGGAAGTATGACTGCCATTCCTGCTCTAGTCGGCAAGTGGTGATGCTCTCTGGGTACAGATAGGCGAGGGCCACGGTGGCGATGACTGTGGTTATGATGGATTGGAGGTGGTTGATGACGGGAAAGAGTCTTCGCCAAGGGCTAGATGACTGGCGGTTATCTGCAGCTGGCTGGGCGAGTTGATTGGCAAGATACAGTGCCAGTGCTGTAAGAGGAGGGAAGAGGGTGGCGATGGCTGGAACCCAATCAGGAAGGGGAAGGTAAAGTGAAGCTGTACGAGACCAGGACAGCCTAATGAGATGAATGAGCTTGATCCTCGACGTATACCTCTATGGCAAGAGTGAGAAAGTCACTTACGCTCCAAGAATGATAGCGATAATTGCAAGCTATTAGATGAAATGATGACTTGTCAGTGGGTTTCTTAGAAGGTAGTGGACTTGCTCATACCGCTGCTGCTACTGTGGAAGCCACTGTGGGCAATCCGTAGACAATAGCCATGTTGATTTCGATGCTAGACGATGGAAAGTGATGGATTCTGAAGCTGAAAGCTTTCCCTAGTTGTAGACTACTGAAAGAGAAGAGAGAACAAGCTGTTGGGAGTGTGGGACTGAAGGGGATGGATCTGGCCAGGCGGGGTTGGCGCTTGCAGCTGCTGCGCACATGTGTCAGGCAGAAGCCATGGTTAAGTAATGCTCCCATGGTCTTGACATCTCCATCAAGCAAGCTTACTACCAAACTAAGAAAAATAGGAGCTTAACCTTAGTGTATGTTCAGTGAACATTCCTTTCATAATGAGCAAATGAGCTAATCTAGGGGGATGTATGAATGGCGGTATATTTGTGGGGTAAATCAGCTAGAATCAATCCATCGATCTATTGGGGGCTCCACTGCCACAAAGATTAGAACGGAACAATGTATACAGCTCAAAGGTGAAAAGGAAGATGCCATTGTATAAATTCTAAAATTGGATTTGCCTTCTGTTTCCATCCATGTGCATACAGTCATCCAACTCTTGTTGTTTGCCGATCACCAACATCAACCCGCGGATGGTCACCTGGTCCCCATCGGAGCTTACCCGCGCTAAAAGGTCAAGCTAAGATACGCGATGCTCTTCTTCTCCCCGATCTCTTTTTCTGCCCCAACTTTCTCCTGCTTTTCCTTGGTGTCGCTACCTGCCTTCACCATGAAACCATACATCGGTATCCCAGCGGTGATAGTGCTTGTTCATCGTGCCTGGTCGCGAAAGTCGCTGACCACTCCCGGCCTCATTGCGGCTGCGCTGACAGCCAGCGCCCATGCTCTTCATCCATGGTCCGCTCCTTTTGTCTTGTTAGGAGTATTCTACTTTGGGGGCACCAAAGTTACCAAGGTATATTCTTTGCTCACATCATCGATCCGCAGTTTTTAACTGTTGATCACGTACTTTCCAGGTTAAACACGATGTTAAAGCTCGTTTGACGCTCTCCGCGACCGGCTCCGAGGGCGGCGAGGGTCAGCGTACCCACATCCAAGTCCTGGCGAACTCTGTTGTCGCGACAGTGCTTGCTCTCCTACATACATATGTTCTTGCGGGACAACCTGCAAGCGCAACACAGTGCTTTTCGAATGGTCATAATGTGGCGGATTTGTTGGTCGTGGGAATAGTCGCGTAAGGCCTGTCCCTGTTTCTAACCTTTCTTATGCGCGTACTAACAGGTCATCGTGGTAGGAACTACGCCGCAGTCGCCGCTGATACATACTCCTCCGAGCTTGGTATCCTATCCAAGTCCAAACCCCGCCTGATCACCTCTCCCACGTTCCGCGTCGTTCCCCCCGGTACCAATGGCGGTGTAACTGGAACCGGACTCCTAGCAGGAGTGCTGGGTGCTTTTACAATTGCTGTGTCGTCCGCTGCTATCCTACCTTTCTGCGCCGAAGCCGATACCCTGTCGATGCTCAAGAGCCGGGCCCAGTGGATCTTGGCCGTGACAATGTGGGGAGGTTTGGGCAGTGTGCTGGATAGTGTCTTGGGTGGATTGCTGCAGGCTAGTGTGGTCGACAAGAGAACAGGAAAGGTTGTCGAAGGAGCTGGTGGTCAGAAGGTCAGTACATGCTTAGCATCTACCGGATTGTTAGCAGAGGATAGTACTGATATTATCTTGCAGGTCCTTGTTCACCCCTCTTCTACTAAGCCCGGTGTCCCAGCTGATACCACCGGTCTGAAGCCTGCTGGGTCAAGCTCGAGTGCGCAGGTACACGCCACCGAGGCAGTAGCTAACACCGCCACTCTGAAAGGAACCAGGGCTACTGGAACATCGACGGGAACATCCGCAGGAGAAACTGAATCGGGACACGAAAGCCGGCGGGTAGAAAGTGGACGGGACCTCTTAGATAACAACGCCGTCAATCTTCTAATGGCCTTTACGATGAGTGTTGGGGCTATGGGCGCTGCAAGCTGGGCTTGGGGTCTGAACATTGCTGACTTGGCTTTGTGGTAGCTATTGAAGGTTTGAGGCGTATCTACGATCGCAATGCTATGAAATGATTTTTATGACTTTAACTGAGTTGAACTATATCAAATAATGGGTATATGTGAAAGGTAGGAAGGAAGAGAAGGAGATATGCATGTGACACTCACTAGTCGGGCAGGTGCAGAAAACGGTATGAAAGAAGCCTTATATATAAACAATATGAAAGACCATTACTCCAACAGTATCCCACATCCTCACCAAACCGGATGTTCCCTTGCCAAAGAGGCAGACCAGCACGCAGCGGGTTAGCGCTGATTATACTTCTCTTGGATGACGGTTTCGTACCGTCGTCTCTCCCTCTCCAGATAAGTCAACGTGACGCTCTGGTCCCTGTGATAGTCAATGAAATCCTCCCATTGTTCTCGTGGCACAATAACTTCATAAGGCTGTTCAGAGAAAATATCTGTCGGCCGGAATCTTGTTGCCATGCCCTTGGGGTGCATCTCAAAAGTGAAAACTTTTTGCTTCCCACCAAGTTTAAGTCCACTGGAATCTTCCGGTTGCCTCTCGAGCAGAGACTTGGGGCGGGCTATTCTCCGCCGATGCATAGGCTGTGGGATGGTATCTTGCGACAACAAGTGAAGGCTATCCTCCCATCTTCGTTTCGAGTCTCGGTTGTCTGGCACTTCAATAACCGCTTGCATCTTCTGTGGTTGCATTGCACGTCTGTGTGCGTCCTCCAGCAAGTGCTGTCGCTCTTGGTCGCTCAATCCTGGCTGACAGAGTGGCAGGTAAAACGCCATTGTGCTAGCCTCGGGTTGCTTGGTGATCCATAACTGGCATTCGCTGAATAAATCGTACGCCTTATCATATTTTCCTTGGGCAAACTTTACCCGAGCCTGCCAGTACCTGCACCGTGCGAGCACTGGTTTGTCGTCATACTTTTCTGCCAAATCCCGAGCCTTCTGGGCCTCGGTATCAGCCTCCCGGGGTTGGCCTTTTCCAAGGTAGAGCTCTACGCTTCGAAGAGCGGACCTGATATTGCTCATGTCGACGACCATATCACAGTAGGATATGATTTTGTCGAGTGATTCGCCACCTGGCTTGTCTTTAAGTGCTGGCTTGGCGAACTTCTCTTTGTGTGAGTACTTCTTATATGGTAACCAGGGAGATGGAGGTGGTGGTGGGCAGTCAAATTGTTCGCCCTGGCTGTCAGGATCAGGGAGTTGAATTTGTAACGAGGCATACTCTCCCTCATCTGCACCGTCGCTGTCATTCCCGCTGAATAAATTATCAGTCTGGGTTCGCCATAAAGGGTCCTCATCATCGTTTGCAAATTGGTCAGTGGAGCTTTGATCATACGAAGCACCCTCGATGTAATTTGCTTCCATGAGTATATGCAATGCCTCGTCTTCGCCGGCGTCCATATCTGAATGTGCGTACTCGTCGTCGCTGTCTGCTCTGATGTTCAAGGCGGCGTCCCGCATTTGCGAGTAATTGCGCCTGCTTGGTGACATTTTGCGGCATGTTAAAAGTGGTGCTCAACTTATTGAACTTCAAACACAGAATCCTGGGTTGTCCTGAGCTTATTTATATCTTTAAAGTTCTAAAGAGAGGTGCATGCCCACTATTAGTCTACGGTATTTCACTACTGGAAAGATATCCGACAACTATTCCATTAGAAATTGTTTCACTGGACTTGCTAGATGCGTTGGATACATGTTAGTTAAAACTGTGCTCTTAGTTGGTGACCAACGGAGATATCCCGAAGTACTACCGATGCTCGTATATATAATGCTTTTGGCCGCCGCTATACACCCATATGATCATATACTATTTGGGGTGTCTTTTGTTATCCTTTGCTCAACCGGCGGAATCCCTCTGCTGATCTTGTCTCGGCAGCTGATCAGCCCTAATCGTAATGAATAAGCAGCTACACCAATGTGCCTAAGAGGGTTCGTCCGTCACTGATCGGACTCACGCGGATATGCGGAGTAACTTTTATGACTACTACCGTAGTGCTGATGAATCTTCGTTGTTTGTTTCTGACCCTAGCTCAACACTGATCTGACTCAGGTACTAGTCAATACGAGCTCCACTGAGGCATATTCCATGCGATACGGATTGAAGGGGGGATGTGTCCAATGCCAATTAGACAAGCCTGATGGATGTATAAAATGGTGGTTGGGAAATGCCGTCCCGTGATGACAAACTGCCTCAAAACAGGCAACAGCAGTAAACCAAACCAGACAAACTGAGGTGGGGTATCCAAACAACACAAACAGTACCCAACACGGTAATCCCCGCTCCAAAAGTAAGTCATGCAAACCAATGCAATCAGTGCAAACTCAACGTCATGCTCGTGTCGGCGCTTCCTTCTGGCCCTCGGCGGTTGGACCTCTTTTCCGCATGCGTCACTGGCCTGCGGTGCTTCATCCATTGGATCGCTGTGACACCTGGTCGTTCCTTGGAAAGTAACCCGGATGGTGGGTTCCCAAGCCATCCCACCGGAATGTGTACCCTGCCCAGTATGGTCTGATTGACGTGCAGGGCGGCCTCAACGGTATTTTCCGGCCTGCGGTGGGACAAATCGCCCTGAGCTTACACAATGCGGAGGGTGTCCAGACCATCTCGATGACCCAGTCAGTCATGGTGGGCTGTTTGCAAGGGCCCGCTTCCCTCGATAGTGCAGGAACAGCTGCCCCTGATATTCTTGAGAGAGGTGGGACGCGCAGCGTGATACTGTCCTCTCTGATACACCCCACGCCAACTTCGAGTCTGACCTGTCGAGCTATTTATCCAGTGGTGGATCTACTCGTAGATGATCAATCTTGCATACCCTCTCTGCAAGGACTGGACGCTTCTCCTCATCTACCCCTCATTAGCCCCCCCCGATACCATCCGCGGTTTGCGCGCGCATACAATAATATAAGCTCTGTGGCTTACCCTTGAACTTGTACTTTTTTTTCTGAAGTGGCTTGTATAGCTGTTGCTTTTCTACTTGCTTTATTGTTGCTAGAGTTCCGTGCTCACCAAAATGTCACCCTTATGTCCGGTCGTCAAAGGCGTTGACATCGTCGATATCCGTCAGAATGACGTGAAGTTTTCCTTGGTAAATGATATCCAGCGAGGTATAGATCCTCCGGCAGGAACTTGCCGTTCC